AAAAAAAAAAAAAAAAAAAAATCTTCACTTTCATCTCTTAGAGCTGTGCTGAGTGGTAAGAAAGAAAGTGGACCCAGTGTCAAAGATTTTACAAGTGTCTTTTCACAAGCCTGTGATGCAGCTCTTCCTATTTTCCTGTTGAGGAAACTGAGGCTCAGAGAGGTTAAGTCACTCTTCCAAAGAGTCACATGGGAAGCCACGTCCAACCAACGTCTTACTTAGACTAATACCAGAAGGTTTCCCAGGATTCAGTGTTTCCATGGTTTTTTGAAATACGTAGATGATTTCCCCCTGCTACAGCAGGGGACTAAATCCAGGCCCTGCACACTGAGCTGGATTCCCAGCTCTTTTCTGTATTTTTTGCCTTGAGACACGGTCTTACTGTTTCACCAAGTGGCCAAGGCCAGGCTCCCTCCTGCCTGAGCATCCAAGAGTGCTGAGACTACAGGCGTGCACCACCACATCTAATCTGGATGAACTTTTTAAGTTTTAGCACTGATGGATGCATGTGAGCGTGCATTAGGAAAATACTGGTTTTCCATTTGAAGTTGTGAGCGTTTCTTTTTAAAGTGCTTATCACAAAATGTTAAGGCTGAGCTGGCCAGAGCAAAACTTTAGGTAAATAACCCTTCAGGCAGAATGAGGATCTGGGGGCTGGGAATTTAGCTCAGCGGCAAAGCGCCTGCCTGGCAAGCGCAAGGTCGTGAGTTCGGTTCCCGGAACCGGAGAAAAACAAAAAAACCAAAAAAATAAATAAATAAAAGAATGAGGATCTGGCCAATAGGTCGAGGCGACTAAGTAAGTGAAATCTGGCAAATTCACAGGCAGCTTCAGGGCAAGCTAGTGGACTCAGTAAACACTTGTGGATTCAGCTGCTTTTCATACCTCGGTTCTTTTCCTCCGCCTTTCCACCTGTCACATGGATACTTACCAGAAGCCCGCCGCGTTCTTCCACTGAGCAGCACCCTGATGCTCCAGCAGAGGGGCTCGGGGTTCCGGGGCGGCCTCTTCCTCTGGGAGGGGAGAGGAGAGCATGACCCCCACCCGCGGTCCGGTCCGGTGTCTTCGGGCCGAGCGGGTCACTCCCAAGAGGGCGGGTCCGAACACTCACCCTCCGAATCAGAAAGGTGCCGCCGCGAGGCCGCACAGCATCCCATGGCATCGACCTCAGGGCCCCCGATGGGTCCACAGCCAGAGAAGGTTCAAAGTTGGCTCCAACGGGCGGAGGAGAGTCTGCGCCAGGTGGGAAAGATCAACGCCCCATTGCCGGTCCCAGCTCCAGCTGTCTGCCGCACTCGCGCCCGGCGATCCGTCAAAGGAGCCCGGGACTCGGTCTCGTGCCCTCCAGCTCTACCACGCCCCACCGGTCGGAATCTGCCCCCGCCCCCTTTAAAGCGGAGGGCCCCCTAAGGTCTGTACCTTTAAGAGCCGCTGAGCGTTCCACGCCAGGTAGCGCTCGGTCAGCTGTCATGTGACGACACACGCTGGTTCCCCTTCACGTGATGAGAGGTCCTCCCTACTTCCGGGTCTTCTCTCGGGCTTCGCTTTCGACCTCAGTGTCGGTGCACGAAAAAGGGAGAGGCCAGCACAACCACTGGTTTTACATTTGAGAAGGTGGGAGCAGCAAAATAGAGCCTTGATTAGCGGCTCCCAAGGTCGTGACGGTCTCCTGCCAACACTAGTCACGGCGTATGAGGCTTCAGCTCCTCTCCCACCACCCTTGCTTGCCAGAAACAAATATGGCCGCATGTCCACAGTCTGTCAGACCGGACTGGTTCTGGCTGAGAACAAAGACGGCCATCCTCACGTCACTCACAATTTTATCTGCGGCCCTAACAAATTGTTTTTAAAATCTCAAAGACAATACCTACCCAAGGAGTTTTCAATAATCATCTATTAGTATCTAAAACGTTAAGTACCCCTTCCCCCAAATTATCCGGGAGCCAAACCAAAAGAAACCAACCAAAACGCAAAAGTAACCCAACCTCTGGTTTTACAGATGAAAAAACTATTAAGATCCAACAAAATCAGACCCAAAGGTGACCTTAGAGACTAATTTAGCATTAAGAAATAGAGCACTAGACGCAGGGAGCCACTGAGCAGGGTGCTGCATCAAGGGTGCTTAGATCAGATTATTCTGATGCCTAAAATGCTAATTCTATGCTCTCTTAGGAAAGTGAGCCGGGCGTGCTGGTACATGCCTGTAATCCCAGCACTCAAGAGGCCGAGGCAGGAGGATCGTTGCAAGTTCGAGACGAGCCTGGGCTACAAAGTGAGCTCAAGGCCAGTCTGAACGGCAGAGCGAGACCCTGTCTCAACCCCCCCCAAAAAGGAAGTGGGGTTCACTTCACATAATCCCCAATAAAGTCACCCCCTTACCTTCTGCAGGGGTAAAGCAGCATCCTGATGCCTCTTCATCAGGACCTCCCCTGCTATGGTGTCCAACAGCCTGTCCCAGACTCTGCCAGCCCCCTTCAGGCCTTCAGAGAGCTGTTTGAAATATTTCTCTGTGGTATGTTTCCCAGATCACACAACCAATGAGAACAGGGACCTACTTAGTACCCTTGCCCAGCTGTAGAAATACAGCAGTGCTTCAAACCTGGCCTCCGCCCACAGGAACTCTCAGTGGGAGGTAGGCATAAATAACCACAATACAAAGTGCAACCAAGTTCGGTTTTGCAGTAATCAAGGGTAGAGGCCTGAGCATTGGAACCACCAAGCCAGCCCCTTTGGCCCCTTAGGGAAGCATTTGTGATATGAAAATGGAAACCGGAGCTCCCACAGCCCCCTCCTCAGCCCTCCTTGTCCCCAGGCAAAACAGGAACCAGAAACCCCAGCTTCCTCTCACAGAGTGGCTGTGGCCTGGGGGAGACGGATGTTGTGGCTGCCCCCCTCGCCCCACTGTCAAGACCTGAGTCACCTGGGCTTCAGTTGCATATGCACCCTCCCCCACCCCCATTTCTGAGATTTCCCACTGCTTACTTTTTTCTTCCCAGCATCCCTCATTCCCCTGGAGCTCCAAATGTGCACCTGAGGCCCCTGGGCGATGCATACCCATTGCTCTGCCTGGGGCGGAGGCTGCTGTGGACCTGGGGGAGGTGGGCAGGGCCTGGGTGAGCCATACGTCAGGGAGGGACAGGGGAAGAGGAAGTATCTTTAGGTCCTGGGGAAGACTGGCTTGTCTTGGTGGGTAGGGACGGTCATTCGCAGCTTCTGGACGCACAGAGACAAAATGGAGTTCCTCCGGCAATACCTCCCTGCGCTGCATCAGGCCTTAATGGGGGCACTGGTGAGAGGGGCAGAAATGCCAGAGACTTTCCATCCCATTCTTTGTGGCCTCATCTTTTCTGCTTTGAGCCTCTGCTGAGATTCCTTTCCCAGGGCCGGGCGGACGCCTAACCCAGGCTCTGCCCGGCTTCAGTCCCCTACCTCCACAACCGCAGCCCCACACTCACAGTCTAGGTCTTTGGTGTTCTCTCTGGGGATCCTCTTCTCCGCCTCCCAGACCCCAGAGTCCTCTTCTGTATCTAGCGCTTTTCTGGCCCGGGCCCCAGGGAAGGAGCTAGGTCTCCTCTGAATGCCTTTGCTCCCTCCCCTTTTTCTTCTAGGACTCCCTCAGCACCTTTGTCTCCTACCTCATGGGAGATGCGGTCCCCACTGTAGAGAGGGAGGCCCGGGAACTGGGGGAGGTGGCTGCAGGGAAGCCAGGGAAGGTTGTAGAGGAGGAAGCCCAGGAGGCCCTGCACGGCCTTGGAGGCGGCCAAAGCGAGGGGGCTGGAGGGCGCGAGGAGGCGAGCTCAGCTGCGGAACAGGTCTGGGGCTGGGGAGAAGGCAGTTCCTGCGGGCCGCAAGCTGGTAGGCAGGACTCTGGGGCCTGGGGGGCCGTCACGGCAGCCAGGGGCCTAGAGCCAAGTGTTCTCTTGGAGGCTGAGAAGAGCTCTGAGGCAGGGACTCGCGGAGACACGGGCAGTCAAGCCAAGGAGAGACAGGAGCCTGAAGAGCAGGAAGTGAACACAGGGGAGACGCTGAGAACCTGGGAACAGGAGGAGGAGGAAGAGGTCAGGGCAAGAGAGCCAGGGATGGCCAGAGGGGTGGAGTCAGGGCGGCCTGGGCATAGGGAGCCCAAGGGGCAGGCTGGTGCTGAGAGGGAGAAGGTGGCTGGGGACTGTGGGGAGACGCGGCCGGTGCTCAGGGAGGTAGTTGCAGAAGCTGAGGTGTCTGGAGCCGAAGGGCCTTGGAGGGAAGAAGGGGAGGTGGCAGCAGTGAGGGCTGACCAAAGCACAAGGGCCCAGGGGACACAGGACCCAGGGCCAGCGTCTGAAGACTGGACAACCTTGCATAAAGAAGAGGCCAGCACGGAGGTGGACAGGATAGCCTCAGACGGGGAGGAGGCCAGCACAGCCTCAGACGGGGAGGAGGCCAGTACAGCTTCAGCCAGGGAGGAGGCTGGTACCGCCTCAGCTGGGGAGGAGGCCAGCACCACCTCAGCTGGGGAGGAGGCTGACCTCCCAGGAGTCAGGGAGACAGAAGACAGGCTAGTCCCAGGAGACAGAATCTCCGAAGCTGCTAGTAGTACTGAGATCCTAGAGGAGGCCTCCAATGGAGACCAGGAAGAGGAGCCACGTGAAAAGAGAGAGGATGAAATGAAGGTTTTCCCCCAACAGCCCTGGGTCCTGGTTACTGAAGCAACAGAATACGCAGCTGAGGGCCAGAAGGCAGAGGAGGAGGCCGCAGGAGCCCAGGAACCAGAGGAGGAGGCAGGGGAGCGCTTCGCGGGTGAGACAGATCAGTATAGGAGAGAGGCCCAGAGCAGGCAAAGCTCAGAGGTCAGGGCTGATGGTGCCCATCTGCAGGAGGCCCCAGCAGAAGGGCCCCAGGAGAAGGAACAGAGGTGCTGGGCCCCGGAGGATGAGCTGGCCCCAGACCAGGAGGCTGAAGGTGAGGCTGACTCAGAAACGGCCCTGGAGGCCAGGCCCGAGGAGGAGTTCATGTGGGTGAGAGGCCAGGAGGGTCAGATGCGCCAAGAAGCAGTGGGGATGGGCTGGGGTGTCCTCAAATTCAGGGTTGCTGAAGACCAGGGCCCCGAGCTGGTGGGAGAGGCCCAGACGCCCGCAGAGCCGCCTGAAGAAGGACAGGGGAGTCAGGAGGAGCGTAGCCCAGGCCTGAGCACGGAGGAGACAGGCAGTGGGGTGAAGGAACAGCTGAGACACATAGGCTCTGTACTTCCTGCAGTCCTAGAGACAGAAGGCTGGGGATTGTGGTGGGGAGGGGACGCAGGGAGCAAAATCGCCCAGGAGGAAGGAGCAGATGCTGAGGAGGAGGCTGCAGGAGGCCTGGCCCTGGAGGCCGAGGCCAAAGGAGTCTGGGAGTCTGAACTGCCAGAGGTCCTGGAGTGTGGACTGGAGGAGGGAGAGACCTCTGTGGTGGAGAACCAGGAGCTGCAGGCAGACCAAGGGGCAGAGGCAGGGACAGGCCAGGCACTGGCAGAATCAGAGGCTGGGGAAACCAAGGACAATGTGGCGGAGGTCACTGTGCCACAGGAGGCAGACAGAACACCCAGGGGAGGCTGGAGGCCGCAGGAGGCAACTCTGAGGCTCCAGGACTGCGAGGACACGCAGGCCAGTCCTTTGGCTGCTGAGGTGGAGGAGGGCCAGGCAGAAGGGGCGGCCGGAGCAGCTCGGAGCGGGGAGCTTGGGAGGGGCTGGGAGCCTGAAGGGCAGGGAGAGGCTGCACAGGTGCCGGGGGAGGAAGAGCTGGAGGAGCGGCCTGTGCCGGAGCAGAGGGGAGACGGTGAGGGGCAGCACGGGGACCGCCGCCCTGAGGGAGAGGCAGCAAGGCCGCTAGATGTGGATGCTATCAAGGCGACTGGTGGCCAGAGGACGGAGGCCGAGGGGACTGCTCCAGCAGACCGGGAGGGCAGCCACGGCCAGGAGGGGCAGCCAACACACCAGCCTCCTGCGGAGACCACGCCGGCGCCTTCTGAGACTGCAGAGGCCACGGGAAGTGACCCAGGGGACACTCACAGCAGCTGGAGTGAGGTGAGGGCTCTGTAGTGGACCAGGGAGGGACAGTAGGGCCGGGAAGCCAGCACAGCAAAGCTCCACGCCTCCTTCCCTGCAGGCCCTGCTCCCTGGGTCCCGCCTGGACGTCTCTGCCTCCCGGAGCCGTGTGCTTCTGTCACGGAGCTCCTGGAAGCGGCGTTCACGACCCTCCTCCTGGAGGACACCTTCCCCGGAGCGGCAGGAGGACCCGCCCAGGCCCCAGCCTGAGGAGGGGCTCGCCAACCCTGAGCAGACACCTGTCCAGCTAGAGGAAGCCCCCGAGCCAAGTCCCTCACAGTCTGAAGAGACCCCAGAGCCGGTCAAGAGAAAGGTCCTGGGACACGGGTAGGCATTGGACCCTGGACTTTGATGGAGGAGGAGGAGGCAGAAGCTATGGGTTTGCAGGGACCACGCCCACAGTTCTATCTTTCTCCCGCAGGTTTGGCCTTGCACACCCTGGCATGATGCAGGAATTGCAAGCCAGGCTGGTCCAGCGGAAGCCCCAGTGACTGAGAGCCACTGTCCCGCCGGGAGCCTGCACTGCATGAGGGTCAGAAGCCCCTGGGGGGCCCTACCAACTCAGGCAATTTCCGCCACCTGCACCCTTCCCACTGTTGGAGCCGTACTTCCTGGTGTCTCACTCCTGGAGTGGAGAAAACCAGAAGGTCTGTGAAGACTTTGGACTTCAGGAATCTGACTCTTTAGTGCAGGCTGGTGGACCCTATGCCACTGAGGGACCCTCTTCTCAAGGGACCCTTGTCCTGATCACCTGAATCTGTCCCAGCTGCTCAGAAGACCACGGAAGATTGAGAGGATGGACTCTGTTCTCCCACAGTCTTCCCTCCCCGTGTCTGCGCCCCTCAGAGCGCTGTGTGGGGGTGACAGCTGTGGGTGGGGGCATAACACACTCTTCCCTTCAGCACAAAAGAAAAGGGTTCGCAGGTCTAGGGGCACCAGGTGGACTCAGAGGTGATGGGTAGCAGGCCAGCTGCCTTGACTTTCCAGAACTCTGCTGGATACTATGGCAACTGAGCTGGCCAGTCAGGGAAGGTAGACCAGAATCCTCAGATATACTGGAGCAGTGAGGGGTTCTGGGCGGCCAGAGGCTGCCAACTCCACTGTAGCCATCCTGCCCCTTGGGTGCCAGGCATCTCTTCTGTGACAAGAAGCTAAAGCAGAGAGAGGGTGAGGAGGCTTTATTAGGCACCCAGGACCGTGGCCCAGCCTGAGGATGAACAATAAATAAATCATCTCCTAAACAATAAATAAATATCCAAGAAATAAATATCTGGCGTGGACTGGAGGGGCTTTAAATTACTGGGTAGGGGCTGGGGTTGGGGCTGATAGAACTTTCGCCTGGTCTCAGGCAAATGGGTGGAGGTTGTCCTCTTGGCCAGGACTCCAATCCTGAAGTCCTAAAGGGTCAGGGAAGGGGGCTAGAAGGTCACCCCATCAGGACTGAGAGCCAGACCTGGGTGCCCAGCCCTGGACAGCAGCAGTAAGTCCCGCACGGCCCGGGATAAGAGCAGCTCCAGGGAGTGCAGCAGCTGGTAGGTGTAGAGCAGCTGGGGCCAGGACCCCTGCACCCCTGGCAGCAGCCCTGTCGCTTGCTCCTCGTCCTCTTCCTCCTCGGGGAGGTTGAATCCTGCAGACAGCCCCTGCAAGGAGACACTTGGATCAGGCTGCGGCCCAGCAGCAGCAGGAGCGACTCTTAATTCCTTTCTTTTTTTGGTGGGGGCGGGTACCAGGAATCGAAGTCAGGACCTTGCGCTTGCTAGGCAGATGCTTGTGCTGCTGAGCTAGATCTCTGACCCCCTCCATTCCTTTCTTGTGCCCAGCTCTCCTAATGACGTCAGTGGCCACAAGACCATCATTTCCCTGGACAGCCCCTACTTCACCTCTCCTGTGTGTATCATCTCATGTCTCACCTGACTTGGCTCAAGAAGACTGTAGCTGTGGAGCATGACAGTGCTCACCGAGCTGGGCTACTCCTCTAGGACTGCCCTGGGGCTTGGGGTCCAGGAAGTTCCTTTCTGCCTTTAAGGATGCTCTCAGGATCAGAAATGGGCAGAGGGGTGACGTAGCTAGTTTCCCTGTTGCTTGCATTTTCTATTCTCCTTTTTAATAAAATTTATATTGCCCTTTGAAAGGTTCAGGAGAATCCAGGTGATGTCAGAGTAAGCGGGAGAAAGGAACCTGTCTGGCTATAGATACTGCTGCAGCCCGAAGCAGTTCTGGGTACTTTAGGGCTCTTGTCTCACTGAAGAGGAACCCCTACGAGTAGGCAGAGACTTGCGGGGCAGAGCTGGGGCCAGATGCACCACACGCATGCGCACACACACACACTTCTAAGAGCTGAAGGTCTCCTTCCAAACTTAATGGGGGTGGCTGGGAAGATAGCTCAGTGGCACAGCACCTGCCTGGCAAGCACAAGGTTCTGAGTTTGATTCCCGGTACCAAAAAAAAAAAAAAAAAAAAAACAACGTTAATTGGGGAGTGCTTGAAAGGTGGCCTGCGAGCCACAATTTCGTGTCCACCTCTGAGGGTCGAGGCGCGTCCACTCACCTGGAAGCGCAGATGCCGCTGCAGGTCTCGGAGATCGAGCCTCACTGCCCACAGCCGCATCCTCTCCGAGCTGGTCCAGGCCCCCTGACTCCCCAGCCTCCTCAGCAGGGCATGGAAGGGCTGAAGAGCCATGGAGAGGAAGCACAGTCGCTCTGGGTCCTGAGAAGGGGAGGGGAAGGGTCAGGAAAGACCCCCTAGGCCGGCGACGGCCCCCCTCAAACCCCGCCGCATCTCCACGCAGGTCTCATTCCTACCCCAACCTGTAAGCGCCTTCCCGTCGCCATAGTTACCCCCAAGCCCATCTCCACGCCTCCCTCCTCTCCTCCCCGCTCTTCCCACCCACCCCGACTCTGCCTTCAGCACCACGCCACACCCTCCTCCTGCCGCCCGGCCCCATCACTCTCCACCCACGCCCTCCTCGCCTCTGCAGCTGGGCTTCCAGCGCTTCTCTCTCCAGCCTCTCTCCCACCACGTTCCCCTTCTTTTCTTCTTCTGCCCTTCCTTTTCCTTCTTTTCTCTCTTTCTTTCTCCCTTCCTCCCTCCCTTCCTTCTTTCCTTCCTTCCATCCCCCCCCCCTTTTTTTTTGTCTTTTTGAGACAGGGTCTCCCTGTGCGGTTCAGGCTGGCCTTGAGCTCACTTTGTAGCCCAGGCTGATCTCGAACTCACAAGGATCCTCCTGCCTCAGCCTTCCCAGTGCTGGGATTACAGGCCGCCCGGCCTCCAGCTTCTTTATGTTCCAGCTCAGACTCAGCCCATCCAGACACCATCCCCGAATCTATCTTCCAACCAACACCCACCCAAGTCCCAGCCAGATTGCTAACTCCCTGACTGGCCCGAGACCCTCACTCACAGAGAGCCGGCGCCAGGCCTGGAAGGTCAGGGACGCGTCGGGGAGCTGCTGTTGTGGGGGCAGGAGGTCCAGGCGCACTCCCGGCAGGTGTGATTCAGCCTGAGGGGGCAAGGTACGTTAGCGGGGTGGGGTGGGGGAGGAGTCAGGGGCTGGGCCTCCCTGTGCCAGGGCCAGCTACACTGGACGACTCACAAAGTGGCGGGCCTGGCCCTGAACCTCCACAAGCAGCTTCCTGGCAAGATGCAGGCTGACGGTGAACTCCACATGCAGCTCCTGCACACTCAGGGTGGGCCTCCCTGGGGACCTTGGGAATCCCCAGACACTGGTTTGCACCAGGAGCAAGGAGCGAAGCAGCAGGCTGAGCCCTGGAAAGACAAGGAGGGGGAGAAGCAGAGGGCTCGAAGCCTGACCGGGTGGCCTGTGCCTGTCAACCCGGCACTCGGATGGCTGAGGCAGGAGGATTGCTGTCAGTATGAGACCACCCTACGCTACACAGTGAGTTGAAGGCCAGCCCGGAATAGTAAGACTCTGTCTCAGAAGACCAAAAGAAAACCACAGAAATAAAGAAAAAAAAAGAGGAGGGTTTGAGAACTCCAGAAAGGAGCTGGGCATAGAGGCTCACATCTATAAACCCAGCACCTGGAAGGGAAGGTGACATGTCTTTCCCAAGTGTGGGCTGTGTGCAAACTTTGTGCAGTCACTTCCATGGGCATCTTCAAAATGCCCCTTTAGGGCTGGGGATATAGCTCAATGGCACAAGCGCCTGGCTGGCAAGTGCAAGGTCCTGAGTTTGATTCCAGGTACAAAAAAAAAAATGCCCCTTTAGAACCACAATGGAAGACGGATGTGGTGGTGCACACCTGTAATCCCAGCACTCGGGAGGCTGAGGCAGGAGGATTGTTGTGAGTTCGAGACCAGCCTGGGCTACAAAGTGAGTTCAAGGTCAGCCTGAACTGCATAGCGAGATCTTGCCTCAAAAAGTCAAAAAGACAAACAAATAAACAAACAAAAAAAAACAAACAACAAAGAACCACAGTGGTGACCATCTCTGGACAAAGTGTGCACCTTCACAAGCAGATCCTGGGCTGGTTCTTGACCCCACTGCCTCACTTGGCCAAGTGCCTGTTCAGTGGACAACCTGAGCAACATGGGCACACGGCTGCCTGTTTACTCTTCTTCTCTCCCATTTTTCTTTTTTTCTTGCCTTTTTGAGACAGGGTCTCGCTATGCAGTTCAGGCTGGCCTTGAGCTCACTTTGTAGCCCAGGCTGGTCTAGAAATCCCAAGGATCCTCCTGCCTCAGCCTACTGAGTGCTGGGATTGCAGGCGTGCACCACCACGCCTGGCTGTCTCCATTTCTCAAAGGAGGAAAATGAGGCTCAGGGAAGTGGCCTGACTGAGAGTCAAATAGCCAGACCTGTCTAACGTGTGCTTTCCCTGGGAACTCAGCGGTGGCAGCCACTTGTCCCAAGGGTGGGGACACTCTGTACTGCCACGGATTCCTTGGGCTCAGCCAGACGGCTCTGATGCTTTGAACTGGCCACTCAGGCCCCAGGGATGGCCTGGCAGATTGGCCCAGCCTCCCATAAGGCAGGTAGGTCACACTGCACTGGGGCCCTCCGGGACAAATCCCACAGTACAGCAGTGGGAGGGCCAGGCCACCTGCAGGGGAGGAGGCCCTGGTCTGCCAGGCCGAAGCTCTGTTCCTGGTCTTCCCTGAGTAAGTGCCTCTTATCTCTGCACCTCAGGCCCCATCTATAAAATGGGGGCGTTAGACTGCCCATTTTTTTGTTGTTGCTGTTGTTTATTTGTTTTTGTTTTGTTTTGTTTTTTGAGACAGGGTCTCATTATGTAGCCCAGGCTGGCCTCAAACTCACAGAGATCTTCTTGCCTCAGCCTCCCGAGTGCTGGGATTACAGGTGTGCGCCACCATGCCCGGTTTAGACTGCCTAACTTCTGAGGGTGCTTCAAGCCTTTTCCCTGGAAAGAGGAAAGAGGGGCAGCTCCGGGAAATGAGCAGGGTTCAGTGGTTTCTTCCTGGGGGTGAGAACGTCCAGCAATCATGGAAGTTACACAATTCTCCTCGAAACCCAAACTAAAAGCGATCCCCCAAGCCCATCTGGACCCCTGCGCCTCTCCAGGCTCTTCCTTCCCTGTCTGTTCATGATCTTGACACCCCAGCTCTGCTCCTCAAAGTGGCCCTCAGCAGAGGTGAAGGGGAGGTGCTTCTGGGGCAGCCACTGTCCCCACGGATTTCCAGAGGGGGTGGGCAGTATCCCAGATTATCTCTTGGGTTCAAGTTGCGTGGCTTGGAAGCCACTGAGGCCCTCTGGCACCCCAAAGACAAGGCAGAGCAGGACCGTTTTTAGCTCTATGCTGGGGGCAGAGTGGGCACCCCAGGCTCTGGTGAATGCTGTCCATCCAGAAGGAGCTGTGCCGCCTCCTTCCTACCCTCTTCCTGCATGAGGCCTGGACGCCAGCTCCTCCCTACTCCTGTAGCCGATCTTGGGTCCCTGGCCCTGCTCCTTGAAGTTCTCTCCTCACCCTTCAGCCCTCGCCCTCCCTGGCCCTGTCCCCTGCCCCTGTCCCCCGCCCCGCTGCCGTCAGCCCGGGATCCAGCCCTGAGTGCTTCAGCCCCCAGCTACAGGTTGGATTCCCTCCAAATCTCAGACGAAAGACCCTTGACTCAGTCAGGGACTGGCTTCTTGGCCTGAGACTCGACCTGTGCCGGGCCCCGCAGCTCTTCCTCTAGCTGACCTCTGTCTCAGTCTCAACCATGCTGTCCGGTCCCCAGTCATGCACTCCAAACCATTCTCTTAGTCCCGGTCCAGCTCAGATCGCACGTCCAGCCCTCCCCGTTCACAGCGTCCCTGCCCAGCCCCGGCCCAGCACGGCTCCACCGCCCCCGCCCCCGGCCCCTCACACCGCTCTCATTTCCCCGCTCCAGCCAGCCCGAATCCTTTGTCTTGGCCAAGCTGCTGCCCCAGCCACCCCAGTAAGGGCTCCACCAAGCCTCCCAGCTTCCGCCCAGCCCTGGTCTCTGACTCACGCCAACCAAGGTCGCCCGCTGTCTGGCCCATGTCAGGGCCCAGCCTCCTTGTGCGGCCATCTCCTGGGTAGGGGGGTCTTATACTGGGGGCTGCACCCGGTTTCACTTTCCTTCCTGGTTGTACTTTCAGCTTTGTATTCAGTCAGTCTTCCCTCTTGCTAAAATGGGGAAACGTAATTTCCCTTCCTGGGTGGGGGGAGGCACGCTGGGGGGTGCGGCGGGAGGCTGGGGTTTCTGTCAATCCGAGCTCCGGACTTCGCGGCCGAGCTCCCGGCTCCCGCGCCCCCTCAGCTCCTCAGCCTTGGGGACGCCGTCCAGCTCTATCCCTGAGGGTCCCACACGCTCCGACCCCTCCTGCTTCTGTGCCCGGTCACCGTCATGCATCCAAGAGCATCGCCAGTCTACTGTCCTTTGAAAGACGGATGGCCAGGTAAGGGGATTTCCCACCAGGGAGGACCGGAGTTCTGAGTCATCGTCACTCTTCGGGTTTACCAGATGCCTGGCAGGGGGTGTGGTGAGAGGGAAGTCAGAGCTCAGGGGTGACTGGGGTGAGTCTTTGAGTGGGGCAGGCAGGGGCTCCGTGTGAAATATCACAGCTGGCCGTGGAGCTCTCCAGGGTGGATAAAACCAGGCCCAAGGCTCCATCCAGGGCCAAGCACTGAGACTTTGGCCACAGTATCCCCGGAGTGGAGCTCAGTCTATACCCAAGGTCGGGTCTTGATCTACGGCTGGACTCAGAGCCTAATCTGGAGCCAACAACCCTACTCTGTCTGTTTGGGGTCGGAGCTGTCCACGACCTGGGCCTCTGCTGTGGTTGGCCAGGGGTAGGGCTCAGAGCTTCGTTAGTCTGTCTGCGGCCACGGTTCAGACTGAGGCTGTGATCAGGTGAGGACTCGGGCTTGTGCTGGGACAGGAGCTCAGGCACGGGTCAGGGTCAAGGGTCCTCCGTCTGTGGCCAAGCTGGGGCTCGTGAGGTTAGGATCTGCTCTCTGCCAGGATGCACAGCAACCGCCGTGCTTCTGCCCCGCAGAGCCCTCTGTCAGGGCAGGGCACACGTGCGTGCGGACCCTTCCAGCTCAGCCCCGCCCTCAGCCACACCCTGGATTTCCCATCTTCAGGGAGAGGATGGGAGTTTCTCGTCTTCCCCAAGGCTTACTACTGCCACTTTCCTTTTGGGACTTGTGGGGTTTTCCTGCTGGGTCCCTGCGATGAGACAGAAACCAAGGGGCTTCCCCTTCCTGTGCCCTGCTCCTCAGCCCTGCCTGCGTGCTACCAGCAGGGCTGCCGGGACGGAGTGCAGGCGAGTATCCCGTATGGGGCGCTGCCTCGGGCGGGTCAGAGGACCACTGGGGTGGAGGTGAAGCCGGCTTTCCTTTGCAGGCGTCCCAGTGTTGGCAGTTCGCTTCTCTACTTCCCTTGCAGCTGGGGCTCACCGCTGCGTGTGTGTGTGTGTGTGTGTGTGTGTGTGGCGGGGGGTCCATATATCCCAAGACATGATGAGGACAGGCAGGGGCCTGGCTGGTCCTTCACGCACCTCTAAGCCCTGCTACCACCCTAGAGGCAGGGCCGCCCTGCTCACTCTCCGACCGCAGGGTCCCCCTTCTGCCCTCTCCACTGCCCCTCCCTCTCCAGTGCCTCCCCACTCCTGAACCCACTTTCCCTGGCTCTGACCACAGCCCACTGGCGCTCCCAGGCTTCTCTTAGGGCTCCCCCAAGAACCCCATCCCTGTCGCTCCCTCTGCCCTTCAAGGGCTCCAGCTGATCCTGTCACCCTCCCTCTGCTCCAGCTCCTGCAACTTTATACTTGCAAGCACACGTGGGGGGCTGCCTCCTGCTTCCTTGCCGCTGTACAAGCTGTGCGCTCTGCCAGAAAGCGCCCCCTACCTGCCTTCTGGGGGTGTCCCTCTCCCTGACCTTCTCTGAATGTGTATCTTTGTCATTGGCTTCCCTTTTGAATCCTTTGTCCCTTCCTGCCGCAAACCTTGTCTCAAAT